ATAACAAAAAGACCTCTTTATAATCTAATAGTAAGACTGAGGTATAATCTCTGCATTGGTATAAAAAATAGAAGATGGAATATGGAGAGTAGAGGGTAAAAAGAATTATTAGTAGGGGCGCCTGGGTGGCTCAGTCGTTAAGCATTTGCCTTCTGCTCAGGTCATGATCCCAGGGTCCTGGGATCGAGCCCCGCATCGGGCTCCCTGCTCAGCGGGAAGCCTGTGTCTCCCTCTCCCACTCCCCCTGCTTGTGTTCCCTCTCTCACTGTGTCTCTCTGTGTCAAATAAATAAAAAATCTTAAAAAAAAAAAAGAATTATTAGTAAAGAGCTTGGAAAGGCCCTCTGAGGATTTATGCCTGTAATTGGATGTCTCGTAGTTGTAGAGACATATGATGCAGAATTCTTGCTGTGTCTCAATGCAATTTATAATGTCAACAGGAAGTCAGGACTAATCCTTATAAATATTAGAGAACAATGCAGAACAGTATATGATGAAATCACCTCTGAATTCCATGTTCATTACTTGATTCATTCTTTCATTCATGCATTCATTCACTCCCCATATGTTTGTGGTGTACCTACCATGTACCAGAACTCGGCTAGTCGCGCAAATAAAGTGATGAATAGTGAATCAGGGTCTTACAGAACTTACAACCGAATACAGAAGATTGACTTTAAATAAGTAATGCCACTACGTAGTGAGTATTTTAGTAGGGAAAACACAGGAAGAGAATACACAGCAGGGAGCTCTAGCCTGGTCTAGGCGTCCCCGGGGAAGTGAAATGTACACCCAAGCAGTGGGCTATCTCCGAGTTTCTGACAGTGACTTCCATGTATTCCATCCAGTAGGTCCTTTCCATTTGCAATTCGATGCTTTCCATCGAGTTCATGTTCCAGTTATGAAAATCCTAGGCATCCTGACTTTTTACATTACAACAGATAAACTTTTACACTGGGAGCAATCCCTCCTTTCTTTTCAAAGAGGCATGATCCCCGTTAAAAATTCACCAGAGTTTGAACCTCCTTTTCCGGATTAAAGACTATCATTAACATTATTTCACACGTAACATTTTCCCACTTAGTCCACCATTGTGCTGAGTTCCACTTGTGTATGTGCAAATTCTACGTATGCCCCACTTCTAATATGTACGTCTATATCATCTCTCTTAAGACTGTATAGTGTTTGAAGATAATCTTCATATCTCTCATCTCTATTCTGCAATCCCCATAACACCCATGGTAATGATATTATAATCAAAATAGTGATAGTAATAGAAACCATTTCTACCACATATTGAGTGCTTACTCTGTGCCAGTCATTTTGCAATAACTTATGCCTAAATTATCTTGTCCAAATATTTATTTTTTAAAATAATATTATAAACATTATCTTGCCTAACTATATACAAAACCCTTATGAAGTGGTTATTATTATATCTACTTTACAAATGATTTATGGGAGCTAGCAGTTTTGCCAAAGTCCCACAGTTATTATAAGACAGCTGTGATTTGAATCCATATTTGCTTGATGCCAGGGTTTATAGTCTTTTGCAACCCTGCCTTGGCATTATACAATCAGTCATTATTGTACATATTCTCTCTTTTTTAAAGATTTTATTTATTTGTCAGAGAGAGAGAGAGCACAAGCAGGGGGAGCAGCAAGCAGAGGGAGAAGCAGTTTCCCCACTGAGCCAGGAGCCTGATGCAGGACTTGATCCCAGGACCCCAGGATCCTGACCCGAGCCGAAGGCAGAAGCTTAACCGACTGAACTACCCAGGTGTCCCTATTGTAAATATTCTTTGAACTAATTCTCTGTATTAGGTTAACCAAATGGTAAAGTCAGCTAACTTAGATCTCCCAACACTCACCAAATATAGTTTGGGCACCTGTATTAACTGGATTCCTATTAATATAAATGCCATTGGAGTAGGCAGAGTAGTATCTATTATCCTATTCTAATATTTTTTTGCCTACTGGCATGTGACTCTAAAACAAAATGACTGAGTGGTCCTGGAATATGAAAAATACTGTTGTTGGTACTCTACGTTGAATTTCCTCGTGTTTTGATACAGAAGTCTGAAGATTCCTAGGCACTTGGTCAGTTGTGGGGATAGTGGTAGATGGAGTGGTAATAAAGGTGATAAAGCTGAGGGAACGGGGGGAGGAAGGAAGGTGGTGCTGTCACTCTCCTGTGCCGGGTCACACATAGTCCAGGTCTGTCGTAATTAGTTGAGGTGAGCTCCTCTCAGAAGGAAGATGAATACACTGGTTTCCACATAATCTGCTGGCCAACTAGGTAGCTTTATCTCAACCTGTCCCATCCAAGTCCTCCTTTAAGGAAATCTTTCTGCTGGTGGCCTCCTTCTAAATAGTCATGCTCCATGCTATGTGTTTGTCCCTCGTCTCAAATGAGTGGACCAAAGGGTAGACACTTGATTTGAAGGCAACCAGTCTGTAACCCGGCCAGCCATCTGTATAGACTAGCTTAAAATGATAAGTGGGGCCAATCAGATGCCTCTCTCGGAGATTTGGCAACGGGAAGCTAAGACACTCAGCCAGTTGGCAGCTGAGTCAGATTGTGGGAGGATCGTGAACCATATGCAGGCTCAAACTTTAAAGATCAGAACAGATAGAGAGTGAAGGTTGAGGAAGCCGGAGTAACACACAGAAAGAAAGCAAAGGCAGTAAGACACGAGTACTTAGAGATGCCTCCAGTCCTGGGGGGTTTCCGGTCCAGTCCTTGCTGGGTATTCTTGTAACAATTCCCTTCCCCCATCTCATCTCCTCCCACTGCCAACTCTGTGAAGTAACTTGAGGGCACCTCTGTTTCTTTCAACCAAACAAGACTGACTGAAACAGTCTTCCTTCATTTTCATGTCAAGCACTTACAAATATGAAATATTACTTTTAGTTCTCATTAGTAAATGGATGTGAAAGTCAGACATTCCCAAAGAAAGAACTAGAACTCACTGGCCCAGAAAACCCCATTTCAGTTTTTGCACATAAAAAATTCTTACAGCCCACATTTCATTAAGAAAGTCTGCTCTGCATAAACCTCAAACTTTTTAGAAACTTTTTGCATTCTTAGTTGGAGAGTGGGGATCAGTCATCTATTATCCAAACTGGGTTTAATGCCCAAATGATTCTAATGTGTTTATATAAAGAAAGGCAAAAAGCGTTCTCCCTTCCCAATCTTTATCCTTCATTCAGACTTAATGCCTGCTCGCCCAGTTTAATGATGGTCTAGGATTTCTGAACCAAAAAGAGTTCTTAAAAAGTAAAAAGAAACAGAAATCAAAGTTCAAAAGACCCCCTTCTCTCTTTCTCTCCTTTATATTGGACTCATTTGCAGCTCAGCAACCCTTGACCCTTTATCTCCTAGATAAATAGTTCTGAGGTTATGTTAAGCCCTTAGAAAAAGTTCAATTTCCTCAAAAGTTTCCAAGAACGAAGTAGTCAAGAAAAAAGATAAAGTGAATGAAGGTGACTTTGTGTCAATTTGCAGGTTAAAGATCACTGTGGTGGTCTTTATGGGGCATTAAGGGGACCAGGCATATACTAGGAGGTCATTTTGTTTTGGAAATATAAACACATGTAAGTGTTTTTTTTTTTTTTTTCTCTAAAGATTTTATTTATTTATTTGAGAGAGAGAGAGGGAGAGAGTGAGAGCACAAGCAGGGGGAGGGGCAGAGGAAGAGGGAGAAGCAGACTCCCCGCTGAGCAGAGAGCCTGACATGGGGCTGGATCCGAGCACCCCGGGAGCATGACCTGAACCAAAAGCAGCCCCTTAACCGACTGAGCCACCTAGGCGTGCCCCACATGTAAGTGTTTTAATTTGCTTCAACTTGACAGTTGTGAAAAGTGCCTCAGTGACCGAGCTGTTTCATCACTAGCCTTAATAGATCTGGGCTTTTCTTGGTTTTCATTCCTATACCTCAAATGTCTTGTCTGCTGCTTTCTCTTCCTAAAATCAGTTTCTCTCCTTCTCATTCTCTCTCTATCCTTTCTCCTCCCCCTTCTCTCTTTCTCTCCTTTATATTGGGCTCATTTGCAGCTCAGCAACCCTTGACCCTTTATCTCCTAGGTAAATAGTTCTGAAGCTAGTTAAGCCCTTAGAAAATGAAGGAGGTACTTCATCTTATCAACGAGGATCATCTTTGCAGGTGTGCTTTGCCCCACCTTTGAAAATGTTGTGGATGGGGAGCGAAAGCAAAGAGTGCTTCTCCCTGGGCAATACTGGAAGGCTTTGGTTGTGTTGGACTTGCTGTGGATGAGGTAACTCTCCTGTTATTTCTGTATAGACAAGACCGGTCGCTTTGCATTTTCTGTTTCTCTGAGAAAGCATGAACATCCAGAGATGCACATGTCTGTCAGCAGCTAGAATGCTGAGGAATGGAAAGACATGGAAACATTCACCTATTATACAAGGATTACTTTAGCTGTGACCTGGAATATATTGTCTAAGAGCTCTGTAAGGGTGAAACTGAAAACTTTTTGTTCTACCACAGTATTGCGTAATCTAGTCACTGTTAAAAAAATTCTTCAAATTTCATTTTTTAGTACTTAACCTTAGGGTTTTTTGAGGAGTAAGTGAAAAAATATATGTAAAGTGCATAGAACAATGCATCCTCTGGTTCTGAGCATGGAACAAATGTTATCCATCATTATTTTTAAAAACGTTTCATACAACAATCATACTGTTTTCCAAGAGGAATTGAAATTTACTTGACTTTTAATGTTCTGGGTTCCCTGATACCATTTACCGTTGCTTGTTTTGATTTAAAAGGGCCTCGAGTACTTGATAACATGCAAGGTTTATCATTAAGCATCTTTATTGCACTTGTTTTTGCAAAGAACGTTTTTGTTTTCCATTAGCCTATCCAATCACATTCCAAGATAGAGAACTCCCTGTCAGAGATAACGTCGACTAATGAAGAACCTAAGTACTTGCAGAAATGAGATGACAGCAATGTATTCCTCATTCTAACCTCTCTCTAGGTGAAGAAAGATGATCTTCTTTGGAACTTGGGCTTGAACGTGTTTATAGGTGAGTGTGTGCACACGTGCATATATGTGTATATATACCTTTATGTATCTCGTGCTGAATAAATTCTTTTTTCTAAGCTAGAGACAGCCAGTCATCATTATTACTTAAGGTTTTAACTGAAGAACTGCAGTTGGCCAGCTCATATGATTTCCACTGAAGAGCCGGAATTCTGAGATAGAGTGCCTTGAAATGTTTGAAGCGTTTTGCCTACTAGCCCACAGCTGAGGATCTCCAGTTTCAGTCTGTGGGAGGCAACTACCTTTTGTGTCATGAACAAAATTATGAAAGACAATATGCCTGATGTATTCTGTATGACTCAAGCAAGAGCCCAACTGTATTAATAGGTCTGTTTTTTTAAAATATGGGTCTGGGCTGAGAGGGTTCTCTGGGTGGTGTAATGGGCAAGGTATATAAAGCATGGATCAAGCCATCGGTTCTGTCATCTTTGCCTTTTACAATTGCCCTCTGTTTATAGAAGCCTATTTGTGAGTCTGCCTTGGTCATCAGGCAAAATGCCTTATTTCTTTCCTGGTTGTTTACAAAACCAAGGACCCAGGCTGCCGGATATTTATACTGTTGTCTGTCAAAGCGTTCACTGGGAGAGGAGATAAGCAAGTCATCTGCCAAAAATATTGTGGCTTGCAAATTACGGGTGCACGTAGGAAAGGTCCCTGCCTTACCCAGTCGTAAGCAAATGCTTTTGTTCTCTTAAGCAAATGATGCCACTCATGTAGGTTGATTTCACCTTCTTCAGATGTCGTGAGCATAAGTTTTGTTTTCCCACTATAGGTCTTAGCCCATTGCGCGGTGTCATCTCGGGTAAGAAAGGGCTGAAGCGAAGTCTGAGTTGGATCCTCCTGATAACACCAAGAAGAGTGTCTCCCCTTTTCCCAAGAACTAGGGAGTATACTTAACAAGACAAGGGTGAAGTTCCGCATGTGGAGGGTAACAAAAATGGGTAAGATGTTTTCTAGGTAGGAAAAGCAAAGCAGGGAAGGCAGCCGCGTGGGTGTGTTGGCGCCATAGTTCCTGTAACCGTGGCCAACCAGAGTAGCTTCAGAATGGAGCATGCAGTCTCTTCCCCTAGACAGGACAAGAGGCTGAGGTGACTGGAGCCTCTAGCCCCAACCTGCCAGCACCACCTCAACTCTGTTGTCTGTGTCCCTTGTCCTGGGGGCTGCAGCAACATCATCCTACCCCTATTCCGAGTGAGGTCAGGCGAGTTGCTCAGAGCCTGTGGATCCCAGCGACATGTTAGTGACCCTGGCTTTGTGTCATCATTGCGACGCAGACTGAACGGGAGCACAGGATTTCGAAGCCTTTTAACGTCTCTTGCCTTTGGCCCTGTCACTTATCTGAGCGCCTTCCAGTTTTTCACGCTCCAGTCTCCTATCTCTTGAATTAATCTGCTGCTTCCCCACATTGTCAGCCAGATTCCCTGCTCCGCTCTAACTACAGCAAACTGCTAAACCCCAGGACCTTCGCTCTCTTGCTCACCTTCTCCTCAAAAGTCACCCAAAGTATCCCGGAAACAAAGCAGAAGTGCTTAAAAACATTTTGCGGTGGAAAACCAAGGGATGATCTCCCTAACATGGCCGATTCTTGCTCCTGCCAGAGGGAAGCTATGGGTGGGATTTTGCCCAGACACACTTCGGCTGGTCCGTGTTTAGTGCTGCCCACACGGCCAACTCTTGTTTAAGCAAATGAAGGCAGGTGTCCTTGAGGAATGGCAGTGGAGGTTTTGGTGATGTTCGCTTGGTTGAAAACTTGCGGGTTACCTCTGTTCCTGTCCACAAATACAATCTCAACCCCGGGCACATTCGTCCGAAAGAAAAGATCATTTTCATCGTTAGACTGTAAGCTGTATGAGGCACACGTCTCTGTCTGGGTTCTATTCATTCGTGTATCCTAGGAGGAAGGAACGGAGCCTATCCCATTATAGGTGCTCGATAACTCTGTTAATACAAATTCCTACCTGATGAAGTTATACTCTAGCAGTATAGTTCAGCAAATAGCACAATATCAAATGGGTACAGCAGAGTAGGTTTTGATATGCTAATTAAAATACACAGAGAAAATGCTCATTGTATTCATCATGGGGCTTTGAATGGACGTGAGCTTCTGAGGGGAATGTATCTCAGAGCACAGGATTAGGAACAGAGGGGAAATATGAGACATCTTAAGGAATACCTCAAAATGAAGGGTAGGTGATAAAAAGAACTTATTTTTTAAATTACAGAAATGTGAAATTGATCGAGTTCCCTGTTTATCTGAAACACCAGATATTTTCTTAGGATTTTAATGTTGTTATTCCAAAAAAGACGGAGGGGATTTAGACTAGCTAAAATCCCTTCCTCAGGGGTGCCTGGGTGGCTCAGTTAAGCATCTGCCTTCTGCTCAGGTCATGATCTCAGGGTGCTGGGTTTGAGCCCCGCTCAGCGGGGAGCCTGCTTCTCCCTCTGCCTGCCGCTGCCCCTGCTTGTGTTCTCTTGCTCTCTCTGAAATAAATAAAATCTTTAAAAAAAATCCCTTCCTCATCTAAAAAGCTATGTAACTATGATTATAAATGATCAAAAATTGTACAAAATAAATAAAACTGAGGACTTTCTCTCTCTCTTTGGAATGGACCTAGCCCTAGAACAAAGGATCTTCACCTAAAGTCTATGGTTGTACAGCCTTGTGTCTTTGAATTCCCTAAAACTGTGCACAAAAATTTTGTATATGCGCATTTCCCCCCTGAGGGACAAGGACCCATAGTTTTCATCAAGTTCCCAGGGAGGTTTGAGACCCTAAAAGCCTTATAAGCCACTGGATTTATATAACGTTTTGAATTGTCTACTTACAAGGCTTGGCAGAACACTTTGTAGCATCAGTCATTATGCTAAACGTTTTGTATTTATTACCTAATTTAACCCTAACTTCACGATACTGTTGCTTTTCTGAGAAGCAGCGAAATTTTTCGGAGTCTTCCAGCCAAAAAGTGGTGAAGCTGGGTTACCAACCGAGGCCTAACCAGAATGCCATGCTTTTGTTTATCGCATCAAGCTACCTTCATTTTCAGTAGACAGCACATTTGCCAAAACCCAGAGCCTTTCCAGCCTCAGCCATCATTTCTGTTTTAAATCATCTTTTATATTTGTATAGTAATTGCTTTCTAAGCACCCCCAAGCTTCACCACACGCAAGCAGCATTCCTCCGTGGAACCTTCGAAAGTCTCCTAAAACACAGAAGCAACCCTCTCCAGACCGATCACCTTAGTTTTTTTCCATTGTGCAACTAGGCTGCAGTAAACATAATTTCATCTTAATTGTCTACTCTAGACTCAAGTCTGGCCACATGGCACAATGGACAACCCATACAATTGGAGAGACTCCAAGAAATCCATCCCAAGCACTGAATGGTCCTGGCACTGTTCCAAAATTTTACTAACTTTCCACAAATTGTGATTCCAGACACGTTTATACCTTGGTCCCCAGGATAATGGAAGCCACAAAAGAGACAAATTAAAATGTCAGCCCGGCTGAGCCCACATTGTGGGCCAGCAATTACGATGGAACCCCTTGCCTCTTAGGTCACCTGAGTGTAGCACATCTGGGCTTCCTGTCAGAGGGATAATGACATAATCCAGAGTAGTTTCCTAGATGTTCCCTGACTCAGTGTAAGTACAGTGTGCTTCTTAGGAGCGGCTAAGATTTCAATAAGCAACAGGAAAAATTTTTAAAATCATTTGAAAGGCAGACAACAGAAGCCTGGTAAACTTTGTAACCCAACTACCCTTGCCATCATCAGGACCTAACTAACTTGAAATATATGATTGAGGCTGGAGAGACAAGTAAAATAGAGCATCGGTGTTCTCCACCCGAGAGAGGAGTATCACCCAAACCTCCTCATGCGCAGATTCGGAAGGACGAGTAGTATGTCATGTCACTACAGATGGAGAAAAGAATGTCCACAACAAAGGGGACATCTGAGAGGTCATACCCCTTGTGGGATCATGGTAGAAGTTCAAAACATCCACCCAAGAGAAATAAGTGAAACAGGACCAGAGTTGGAAGTATGAGTGACACAAGCAATTAAATGGTGTGGAAATCGAGACATTGCTTTTCTCCTCACTTTCTCCTTTTTTATTCTTTATAGACCCAGCCACTGATAGGAGCTGCTCATTTCACCTAAAGTAATCTGTTGTTTTCTGTGCTCTGAAGGTGGTGACCTCAGTGTCCACAATGGGACGTCCGTGAGTGTTTGCTAGGTTTTGAGACTGAGTGCGCCAAGCCGGTGGATAGCATTTCTTCTCCTGGTAGGCCAGGGAAACATTGAGATTACTTCAGCAAAAAATAACTTTTTGGCCAATATGTATCATCACTCAGAGATGCAGCCGGTCAAGTTAACAAAGAAAACAGATATTTAGTCCTGAAGAAGCTTGGTTAAACTTTTGCTTTATCTTTTTATATCTTGATACGGTCATATGGAAATAGGTTATTTCCTCACACTACTTGGCACCTGCTCTGCAATTGTTTTTGTACTTATTTGCCTGCTCTGTGAGATCATAAGCTTCATGAGGACAGTTTTTTCTCATCATTACATCCTCGATACAATAAAATTTTTTTGAAGAAATGAATAAAGAAGGTCAATGCGCAACTGGTCTAGTGAATTCTTACCAGGTTAGTAAAATGTAAGTTGAATTGCTTGGGAGTTTTTTTTTTTTAAAGATTTTATTTATTTATTTGACAGAGAGAGAGAGAGAGCGTGCATAAGCAGTGAGAGCAGAGAGAGGGAGAAACAGGCTCCCCACAGAGCAGGGGGAGCCTGATGCGGGGCTCGATCCCAGGACCCTGGGACCATGACCTGAGCCGAGGGCAGTCGCTCAACTAACTGAGCCACCCAGGTGCCCCTGCTTGGGAGTTTTTAATAACCAGTGGTTGTCAACCGAATTTATATTATGTGCAAAAAATGGAATATTGAATGCAGTTACATGTTTTATTGTAGGAGCAAGGATTTAGGCTGTGGTGGCTAACTGTGATTTTTTATCCTCCTGCTCTTATTTTTCCTTTGAGTAACCCTTAGGCCGTCTTAGTCTGGGAAATTGCCCTCTCCTCCATTCTCAGCCCTGTCCCTGTCCCCCTCCCTCAGGTGCACTGGGTCCAGCATTGCTATGTGATCCTCTGTTCCACCAGAGAACCACTTTCCTGGGGCCATGGGCTTCGCTCGGCCACAGTTCCAGATGGTTCCATTAGAGGAGCACTGAAATGGGGGAGGATGTCCTTCCCTTGCTCTGGGAGAAGTGAGCTGGGAGCTACAGTGGGAGTGGGGGGAGGAGGGTCTTTACACTGAAGTCAGCACAGGGGAAGGCCGGGGCTGGGAGGAGAAAGAGGGGCACCTAATGACTCCATCCGAGGCAATAAATCACCCACAACTTAATTTTTTTTCTTTCATTTGCCACAAAATAACTCTCACTGGTCCAGAGACTTAAGTCGTGTCACTTAGTTTTTATATTTGTAAAAGGAGATCATTTAGGTGGCTCCTAGAGAAAGTGAAATTTGGTACATCTTGGTCTTGTTGGAAAATTCATCATTTTATCGGGCTGAGATCTCTGCCTTTGATATAATGTTTGAGCTCCTGGAACTACAGATAATTCAGAATGCATGCAATCTCTCTTTTACTTGACAGTTCCAACTGAAGAGAGCTCTTATGACTCATTTGTTCATTCATTCCATAAATATTTATTGAGTACCTACTATGTGCAGACACATCTTTTTCTCCAGGCTTCATGTTTAGACCATTTTTTGAACTGTTTCTCATGGGGATTTTGGACCAATGCTGATGATCCTTCCTTAGAAGGGCTCCACTGTGTCAAAGAACCCCCCTTAAAATATGGCATTGAGAGCAGAGCATGGTAACACTCATTCATTCATGTTACACATGCCTTATGTACCAGCGATGTGCCAGGCACGAAGGTTACAGGGATGAGTGAGATGCCATTTTGTGCTCAGAGGACTCACTGCAGGAAGGAGAAGGCTGCCCTGTAAATAAGCTAGTTTAGCATAAGTTGCTGCAGCAGAACCCAAATGAAGGAGCAGCCAATTCTCCATGAGAGAGGAATCCTAGAAATGCTTCTTGTACAGTATCAGAGTGTGGATGTCAGCTCCATCAGGCAGATGGAGCTGGAGAGGGTATTCCCAGGAAAGTCAATGGCCTAAGCAAAGGTAGGGAGGAATGGAATAGCCTTCTGAGTTCAAGGATCCACAAAGGCTTTGAGAGGGCAAGAGTGTGAGTGTAAGATGGTGACGCAGAAGAGGTAGGACCAGAAAAGTAGGCAGGGGTAAGCCTTGAATGCCAGACTGAGAAACTTCGTTTTCATTTGTTTGTTTGTTTTTCCTACAAGGTGACAAGGAGTCTCTAAAGTTTTTAAAAGAAAGGGGGAAACATGATTAGGCTTACACTGAAGAAAGACACTTGGAAGGTGTGTGGTCCAGGGGCTGAACCTCTGGAAAACAGAGGTAGGAAGACCAGCTGGGGGACCCGGTCATCTGAGTGAGAGATTCGAGGGGATCCCATGAAGACCTGGGGGGGGCGGTAGAAAGAAGGGGGTGGTTTAAGGGCAGGGAGCACACATGAGTTGCAGGACTTGGCTACTCGAAGTCGATCAGAGGACCAGTAATAGCATCATCTGGGACAAATGCAGGGTGTCAGGCACCACTCCAGACCTACTGAATCAGAATCTGCAGCTTACCAGCATCCCCCAGGTCATTCATGGGCACCGAAGTTTGAGAAACGCTGACCTGGGGACTCAGGATACAGTGGTGAAGACGCAGGACGGCCAATGCCCCTGCCCTCACGGAGCTCACGCTGTGGCAGGGAGGCCGATGGTAAACAACAGTGCCACGGCTGAGGCTGACATTGAATGAGGACTGCAGAAGTGCTAGAAAGGGGACACAGCATTGAGAAGCGGGAGAGCGTGCAATAGAGGGCTCAGGTCTGGGCTGCGGTGGTTCAGGGGAGGGTTCCCCGAAATAGTTAAAGCAACATGCCAGAGTGAGGCAGGAGAAGCAGGTAGAACAGATGTGTGTGAGGTGGGGTTGGAGGGAGGAGTCTTCCCTGCGGAGTCCCCAACTCCTTCAGGGGCCTTGGAGGCACCGAAAGAGCTGGAGCTGTGTGAGCAAGCAGAGTCCCGCCAAGTGGGACTGGAGGTCAGGCAGCCATCTAGTCAGCCCTCTAAGTCATGCAGAGGATTCTGATTTTGGTCATCAACTTAAGGAGACAGGAGGAGAAAGCCCAGAGCAGTCTCGGGAAGGCTCCTATAGGAGAGGAGAGTGGACAACCTTTCCTGGTGCTTCTGACCACGACTCCTTCATTAGTAGAGCCCTATTGCTTTAAGCTTTTTCACTTTTGACCGCGTTTAAGAAAGTTCTGTAGAGCTCAAACTGTATTTGGCCCTATGGTAGGCAAAGGAGGGATATTAAAATATTTAAGATGTGATCCCTGCCCTGAAGGAAACTACGGTTTAATGATGACATTTGGTTTTGTTAAAGAAGCTTGTAGTCAAACCAAGAAGAACTTCCAGTTAATCATTCCCTGTGTCTTCTCACATGGGCTGCTTCCCAGCCAGCTCGCTCTCCTCCTGTTTTTATATATTTGGTTTTTTAATACAAATTTTTACATTTTTCTTGGTTTCAGGCCATCCTCCCAGCCTGCTAGATCTTTCTGAATCTTGCTTTCGTCGTCAATTCGCTAGCTCTCTCCCAACTTTATGCCATATGCAGATCGGATAAACATGTCTTCTTTTTGCTAATTTAAGACCCTACTTTTAAAATCGGTGACAGGTCTCAGAGGGACTTTCAGCCCCCTAGCCTGGCAGTATTAGAGATTTCCTTCTGGGTGATTATTGATTGATCAGTCAATATGTGTTGGATGCCATAGGGTATTTTTATCCTGGGAAGAGTCTCCCTAACTGGTAGCCAGAGAGAAGTGCACTACCGATGGGAACCGATGGAAACCACGCCCCCGTGGATCACAGTGCTTGCAACATTGTGTCTTACTTCTGTCAGTGGGGATGGGGATGAGTAAAACTCATTTTCCCAACACTGAGTGCAGTGTGTTGTGTGTGGTGGACACGCAGTACACATCTGTTCGGGAACGTAGCCTGCATCCTTTTTTATGGACTTGCAGAAACTGTACAAAACAGCCAGGCTATTTGATACATTTCCAGGACTGAAATACAAAGTTGAGCCCTTCAGACTTTCCCCAGGTCTGCTCGAGTTAGTAACAAAGGCTCCTGTTCCTTCCCCAGAGTCAGTGCCACCGCGTCGTATGCTTTGCTCTCCAGAAACATTTTCTGCTATTTTGTGAAGGTTTTTAGTCTCTGTAGTTTATCCTAGAGATTCTGCAAGTGATGCAGTGAAATCAGGAGAAAAGGGATGTGTAACTCCTTCTATGCGTCGCTGATCCCCAATTTCATCCACCAAGGATATCAAAAGGGCTGGATTTTGCCAATAGGACTCTAATTAACAGGCTCACCAAATGTAATAAAAGCCACAGTTTTATTTGGCAAAGCTCATTAACAACAACAGCAACAAAAATCCTTCTTTTTGAAGTTAATCATCTAGATATATCTATAGTCTTTCATACTATCCCTGCATATTTCACTTTTTTTTTTCTTTAACAGAACCATGAGTGCCACAGAGACTCATTCTTGAAATTTGCTTTCACTCATTCCTCATTACCTTGATTTTTTTTTCCCCTTATGGCATCTGAATTTTTGTCCGTTTGACAAAAATACGCAGTAGCATATCCTGGGGACTCTTCCACACCCCACATCCTGATTCTGTGATCTGGACTTCATGGGCCTCATCCTCTTTAATCCTCACCTATAAGAAGTGCATCTATGACTGCCCTTGATTTATTAAAAAAATGAAACAGACGGGGGAGGTTAAATTATCTGCAAGTTTATATTGGTTTCTGTCCCTCCTCTCAGTCTGCTGGTGTGTTGCAGAGCTGAGGTGTGAATGAGGCCTGATTCCAGAGCCTGAACTCTTAACCTAGTACGCATAATTTTGCAAAGGGCCGGAAGACCTAGGAGGCCAGGCTGGAAGTGCCCTTTGAGATCATCTAGTTCAGAACATGATGGATGCTCATTGACCTGATTTTATCTGTCACTTTCCAGGCAAAATGAATCTCCCAGTGGAGATCAAAAAGCATGGAGGGGAAGTTGGGTGGATTAAGAGAAAGGGGTGATCCAGCTCCTGGGATCCCAGGAGAGAGCTTTCATGCCTGGAGCTTTGGAATGGGCTGGATATTGTACAAATGTCTTAACCTACATTAATGCGTTTCTTCATCAAAAAATATTTGTTTAAGTGAGGTTGGGATCTAATTTTATTTTATTTTATTTTATTTTTATTTTTTAATGCTTTTATTTATTTTTTAGTACTTTAATTTAATTTATTTATTTGACAGAGAAAGATACAGCGAGAGAGGGAACACAAGCAGGGGGAGTGGGAGAGGGAGAAGCAGGCTCCCTGCAGAGCGGGGAGCCTGATGTGGGATTCGATCCCAGTACCCTGGGATCATGACCTGAGCCGAAGGCAGTCGCTTAACCGACTGAGCCACCCAGGCACCCGGTTGGGA